CCTAAATTTTTCTTAATTTTTAAAATATTTCTAGACTATGCAATTTGTCTTCAAATTTTTTCACATTGTCACAGATCTCCAAAAAATTTTCCAATATGTTTACTGAAAAAAATTCACATGTAAGTGGACTCATGCAGTTCAAACCCATGTTGTTCAAGGGTCAACTGTATTAACAGTGCCAAGAATGCAGATGTACTAGCCTCAATACACTGTGCTTTAAGTAATGCCATTTAAATAGGATGTTACTTGTTTGTTTCAACATGCTAACTGTCACGTGAGTTTATTATTAACTCATGCTAATTTTGAACCTGGGGCCTCAGGAAGCATATGTAATTCACACATTTCTTTACCTTTACCCTTATGAACTATTTTTCAAGTTGAACATAACTCACACACAGAAAACAATAAAAAATAAACAAATTTTTCTTTAAATTGGAAAGGATCATTTTGTTTTTAAAGTTTTTATTCTGTTTTCATAATAAAACACCGTGGTCCCAGGGAAAAAAAATTTTTTTCTAGTATAGCAGTTAATGTGTTAAATGGTACTTCAGTTTTTATTACTAAAAACAATAAACTCTTTTCCATGTGTTTACTTTTTATCTTCAGTTTTGTCTTTTAAAACTTGTTTTCATTAAATCTTGAATAGATTGTAAATATTTATAACATTTGCTATTAAAGAATAGGAAGACAAAAGTCATGTGCTCACCACTCAGCTTAAGAAACAGAGCATTATCATTACTTTGAGATTCCCCTCCCCATGTACCTTTCTCTGATATCATCGCCCTCTCCTTTCCTGCAGTGGTAACTGGTATCCTCAATTTCATAGTTAACATTTCCTTTCTTGTCTTTATAGTTTTATCATAAATTAATGTATCCCTAAATAACATTTAGTTTTGCATTTTTTAACTTTATATAAATGAACAGTCTATAGATTCTTCAGTGACTTGCCATTTTCAGTGTTTTTGAGATATATCTATAATAAATGTTTCTTTAGTTAATTTATTTTTATATATACCATTGTATGAATATGGCATGATTTATTCCTTCTTCTGTTAATGGATATTTTGGTTGTTTCCTGTTTTGTTTTGTTTTTTAGTTACAAAGAGTCCTACTCAAATATTTCTCTATCTATTTCTGGATATACATGTATAAGAGATTTTCTAGGGCTTATAACTAAGAATAGTATTGTTGGTTCCTAGGTTCATCTTGGACCAGATGATGCCACATTTTTTTCCAAAGTGTGTGAGGCAAATTTGCATTCCTACCAGTAGCATTTGAGAGCATTCCTATTACTATATATCCTCACCAATACTTAATATTGTTTAACATTTTAACTTTTACCAGTCAGTAGATGTGAAATGATATATGATCATGGATTACATTTGCATTTCCCTGATTACCAAAGAGGTTACATATCTGGTCATGTGTTTGTTAGCCATTTTTCTTTCCTCTTCTATAAAGTTACTTGTCCAAGTCTTTTGCCATTTTCCTATGGGATTCTTTTCCTTACTGATTTCTAAGGACATTTATATGTTCTGAATATATAATGCTTTATCATTTGTAAGTATCACAAATATCCTCTCTGAATTTGGTGCTTTTCACTTTTTTTCTATAAACAGAAGTTCTTAAATTGAATGTGGTTAAATGATTCAGTCTTTTCCTTTATGACTAGTCATTCAATATAGGTTAAGCAAAAGGGAGAAAGACCAAAAAAAGAGCCTTTTTTCCTTTTTAGAAAATCCACTTGCAGTGGATTTTTGCGTATGGTTCAACACAGGGATCAGTTTGGTATTTGTCCATATTGATAACTGAAAATTATCTCAGCACCATTTACTGAACATGGTCAGAATTTTTTTTCCCTCATGTAGATATCCAGTTGACCACTTATTTAAAAGTACCACTTATTTAAAAGACTGCCCTTTCTCTACTGCTTTGCAATGTTATCACTATCATAAATTAAGTGTCCATGTTTGTGTGCATCTGTTTCTGGGATCTTTTTTTTTTTTTGAGGCAGAGTCTGGCTCTGTTGCCCGGGCTAGAGTGCCGTGGTGTCAGCCTAGCTCACAGCAACCTCAAAGTCCTGGGCTCAAGCGAGCCTCCTGCCTCAGCCTACCGAGTAGCTGGGACTACAGGCATGCACCACCATGCCTGGCTAAATTTTTCTATATATTTTTAGTTGTCCAGATCATTTCTTTCTATTTTTTTTTTAGTAGAGACGGGGTCTCGCTCTTGTTCAGGCTGGTCTTGAACTCCTGACCTTGAGTGATCCACCTGCCTCGGCCTCCCAGAGTGCTGGGATTACAGGCATGAGCCACCACGCCTGGCCTGTTTCTGGCATCTTTATTCTCCTACATTGCTCTCTTTATCTCTCCTTGAGCCAATATCATGATGTCTTAATTACTGCAGCTTTATAATAAGCCTTGTTATCTTAGAGAGCAATTCATCTCACCTTGTTTTGTTCAAGGACTATTTTTGGCCCTTTTTTATATAAATTTTAAATTTTTGACATCTTTACTGATACCAATCCATGAATATGGTATATTTCTCCATTTGCTTAGAACTTTTAAATGTCTTAATATTATTTAAATTTTCTTTGTAGAAGACTTGTATATTTTTTTAATTACTCCTTAGTATCTAGTACTTTTAAGCATTAATGGTATCTTTTTAAATTGTGTTTTTTGTTTGGTGGTATACAGAAATGCAGTTGACTTTTATATATTAATTTTATATGAGAACTTTACCAAACTTACTTGTTAATTCTAATAATTTACCAGTAGAATCTTTTTCTTGTCTTACAGTGATAATTAGGGCCTCCAGTACTATGTGGAACAGGAATCATTAGAGAGGGCGTAATTTTCTTGTTCCTGATCTAAAAGGAAAGGTTTCACCATTGAGTATAATGTTTGCTGCACATTTTTATAAATATTTTTAATTAGGTTAAGGGAGTTTCCACCTATTTGTAGTTATGCAGATTTTAAACTTTTGTTACCAAATGCATTTTTCTGTATCTCCTTTAATCTTTTTAATGGGGTAATTTACATTTCTTGATTTCATAACCTAACCTTTTGTTTATTCCAGGGATAAACAACTTGGTCGTGGGTTGTGTACATGTGTATGTATGTGTGTGTGTGTCTGTGTTTAATACATTGGTAAAACAGTTTCCGCCAGGAGCAGTGGCTTGTGCCTATAATCCTAGCACTCTCGGGGGCCGAGGTGGGAGGATCGCTTGAGGTCAGAACTTGGAGACCAGCCTGAGCAAGAGTGAGACCCCATCTCTACTAAAAATAGAAAAAATTAGCCAGATGTGGTGTGCCTGTGGTCCCAGCTACTTGGGAGGCTGAGGCAGGAGGATTGCTTGAGCCCAGGAGTTTGCTGTGAGCTAGGCTGACGTCACGGTACTCTAGCCCAGGCAACAGAGTGAGACTCTGTCTCAAAATAATAAAATAAATAAAACAGTTTCCTATTATACTTGTCTCTCAGGATCCATGGGGGATTGGTTATAGGACCACCTGTGAATACCAAAATTCGTGGATGTTTACTTCCTTATATAAAATGGCATACTATTTGCATATAACCTAGGCATGTACTCCTGTATGTTTTAAATCATCTCTAGATTACTTATAATACCTGAAACAATGTAAATACTGTGTAAATAGTTGTTATACTGTATTGTGTAGGGAATAATGACCAAAAAAAAACGTCTGTACATGTTCAGCACGGACACAATTTTTTTCCCCAAATATTTTCAATCCTTGGTTGGTTGAATATATGGATGCAAAACCCACTTTATAGAGGGGCAGCTGTATTTTCTTTGGGAGTTTTGCAGTGATTTTTTATGGATAAGATTGGATTATAATTTTCTCTTATAGTTCCCATTAGGTTTTGGTATCCCAGCCTTGAAAAATGAGTTCAAACTCCTCTCAGGAATAGTTATTTTCCCTATGCTCATTTTTTGTATACTCTGGAATAGTTGTGTTATATTGGGGTTATTTGTCCTTAGAATGTTTAGTAGAATTTGCGTGTTAGTATTTTATTTTTGGATAGATTAGTGACTTAATTGATTCAATGATTTTAGGGTTATTCACATTTTTTAATTGAGTCTGTTTTACTAAATTATGTTTATCTAGAAAAGTATAACTTCAGATTTTTTGGCAGTAAATTATACATAATCTCTTCTATGCCTTTTAAAACTTTTGGTATATTTGACTTTTTGTTCCATTTTAAATTTCTAGTAAGGAATATTTGACCTCTCATTTCATCTTGCTATGCTCAATTTTTTTTAGTTTTTTTTTTTTTCAAAGAACCAATTTTCGCAGTTTTTGATAGTCTTATCATATTTTAAAATTTTATTTCCTTCTTTATACTTTGTTTATTCTTTTTAAGTTGCTTGGCTCTTCAATTTTAGCCTTCTTTTCTAATATAAACATTTAAGGCTATGCATTTTGTACTAAGCATCACTTTAGCTGCATTCCACAAATATTGATATGTATATGTTGTTTTTTTAGCATCCTTTCTTCCTCCATGGGGTCCAGATATTTTTCTTAAATATTTGGATAAGTTGGATAAAGGATTGTCATCAAGATCTATTCATTTAAGAAATATTTATTTGAACCTAGACAAAGCACTGTACCAGGTACCACTGGTGCCACACAAATGAGTATGAATACATTCCTGAAAGAACTTCTTGTCTAGTGGTAATGTGAAAAACAAATGGCTTCAGATGTAACATTGAAAAATGTATAATTTTCAATTTAATGAAAACTGGAGTAAATGTTTATTAAATTTTAAAGGAACTCAGTTGATCATCTGTTCCCTTCGTTAAACCTAAAATAAAAGAATTATTTAACATTCAACGGAAAAACTGAATATCGTCATCGTGGTAAAAATATATATGTGTATATGTATACATACACACACACACACACACACACACTCACACATGGCACTAAGCCCACAAACTATGCTAGAGTAATTTTTTAATAACGTGCTGTTTTTCCTAGGTGTGAAGATGCCTTAAGAAAAAATAAGAGCTTAATTGGGCCAGATCAAAAGGAGTATCAAAGAGAACTGGAGAGAAACTATCATCGCCTTAAAGAGGCCCTACAGCCACTGATAAATAGAAAGATCCCTCAGTTATATAAGGCAGTGTTGCCTGTTACCTGCCACAGGTATGCGTATCTACACATGGTTTTAGATAATGTTTCCTCTGAAACCTAACAAATTCAACTAGTATAAACCTTTTACAGGTTGAGTATCCTTTATCTGAATTGCTCAGGACTGGAAGTGTTTCAGGTTTGAGATTTTGTTGGATTTTGGAACATTAACATTTTACTTACTGGTTGAGCGTCCTCAATCTGAAACTCTAAAATCCTCAAAGCATTTCTTTTGAGCTTTCAAAAAGTTTCTGATTTTCAAAAAGTCATTTCAGCATTCAAAAAGTTTCTGATTTTGGAGCATTTCAGATTTCATTTCCAAATTAGGGATACTTAACCCATATTACCCTTACATTAATCAGTCTACAACATAAAAGTCAGTTCTTCCTGTAACTTGAGAATCACAAAGTTACGCTAAGGACTCATACTAATCAGGACACTTAAGTCTGGCCTCCTAAAGCTATTCATTTTAAAGTCCTGTCATACTTTCTGGTATTTTAGTAGGAGAATTCACTAGAATCTATCAGAAGCCAGGCATTCATTTCCCTCAGTCATGATAGTAAATAGTATACACTGTGTTCTTCTAGATATGTATTAAAGCAGGTAACTCCATTGAGTATCAAAAAGGCTTCAGTATTTTTCTCTACTTTTTAAGTGTGGCAAATTAGAAATGGAAATTATCTGGAATTTTCTACAATCGAATCCTAGTTCTACTTGAGCAGGTAATTTAATTTTTAGATCTTCTCTATATATGAGATGATAGTACTTACCTTGAAGAAGTTGTTGTTACCTTGAAGAGATTAAATCACATTACAGATGTAAAGTTTCTATGACAGTGCCTGACATTTTACTTTTATCACCTGAATTTTGGAAAGGGCACGATAACTGCTAAAAGTAAACTGCGTTTTTTACATTTTGAAATCAAATTTACATACAACTGTTGAATTGTGTAGCAGTGATATTTTACCACCCTTTTCTTTGAAATAATAACCATAAAACAATAAAGCTATTATACTGTACTTATCTGACAAATTAATAATTGGAAGGCCATTGAAGGTGCTTACATGAAAATAGAATGTAGATACATGGTATACTATACTGCAGAAGAAAGTTAAACTGGCTATTTACTCACCTGGGAATTAGTCCCCGTGCTTAAGTAGTCTCACATGTTTTTACTTCTAGGCCTGTAGAAAAGAATCATTCACACATTCATTCAGAAAATGTCTGCTAAGTGCCTGCTTTATATCAGCATATAGATCATCTGAACGTCTTCCACAATCTGTACGAACAGAGGCTAGACCAGAAGACCTGTTTTAGATCCTTTCTCTGGCAAAACATATTTTACTTTGACCATCTTTTACTGATGTGAGATACCCTATTAGGTAGTTTCTTCTCAAAATTCCCAACGGGAAACAGCATAGTACTTCCCAACACTTTTGGTTTCCCTTTCAATCTTTTTGGATTTTTTTTCCTTCTTGCTGCTTCCATTCCCCTCCAATAGTCTTATACCAACCAGGTCAGAGATCCCACAGTGTGCGGGTACTGGTTCCCTAAGATGGGCAGTTGCCTAATCATAGTATCAGTTCCTTCAGATCTCTCCCAGCTCCTTTCTGTGGAAAGGCTGTGTTCTTCCTATCTCAAGGAAACTTTTCCTTTACACCATATCCTGAGTTTTGCCTTCCTCCCTGATCAACTTTTTGGCCAGTCCTCCAAGCTTTAGTTGTTAATATTTTCAGGCAATTTTCTGGAATTTAGAAAAAAATTTTTCTTGATGAACAGCATCTAGCTTTGAAGACTGCTTATTCCCTTCTAAGCAAACTTTAAGATTCAGAGCTGAATGTGATCTCTTTGTACCTGCCCTCTCCTTTCCTGATGATATTAAGCCTCATGGCTTAACCTTAATTACGGGAAGAATAAGCAAAAGAAACCAACTTAAAAAGTATTTCAAGAATATCATCCCCTTGACTTTTAACTTCAGAATTTAGAAAATTCCTAGAATTTGATTTTTTAAGTTTACTGGTTTACAAAATCTGCATTATTTTGTAGTAGGCTTAAAGGTATTAAGATAGTGGTTCTCAAAGTATGATCTATGACCCATGAGGGGAGTTCCTAAGACCCTTTCATGAGGTTCCTGAAGTCAAAACTAATTTCATATTACTAGCAAATATTATTTTCCTTTTTTCACTCTCATTCCCTTGTGAGGGTATAGTGCAGTTTTCCAGAGACTACATGACATGTGATACTATAAAAGATTGAATACAGAAGGAGAGATGAGAATCTAGACCTTCTGTTGAGCCAGACTCTTATATGAGTGCCACTTTTCTAAAATTTCTTATTTTTAATAAGCAATAGTATTTATAGTGACATGTTGTGATGGATTAGTCTGTAAAATAAGTATTAGATCATTAAATATGAAATGTCCGATTTCAAATCAAATGTGTAATTATTTATATCTCAGACAAGAAGCAGTACAATTAAAGTATGTACCTAAACTATCAACATGGTTTTACTATCTTAATGATAGCTTGTTTATGCCAGCAGTGAGCAAGTGATATTGAAATCACAAAAGTCGTTTTCCACAGTTTGTTGATACTGAATATTTTTCCTTGCAAGAAGTGTTACAAAGCCTGGAAGAAGTGGCAGTCTGTTGGTGCAAGGTCTGGTGAATACAGTGGATGGCAGAGAGTTTCCAAGTCCAGCTTCTATTGTTTGAGCAGCGTTGTTTGTGCAACCATAGGTTGCAGGCATTGTCTTGCAAGAGAATTGGCCTGTCTCTGTTAACTTATCTCGGCTGCTTACTTGCAAGCATGCTCATCATTTTGTCCAATTGGTTGCAGTAAACATCCGCTGTAATCTACTGACCAGGTTTCATGAAGCTGTAGTGGATAATACCAGCGCTGGACTACCAGACACCGTTAGCTGTTTTCGATGAATATTCGGTTTTGGACTGTGTTTCAGCACTTCATTGGTATCCAATCATTGTGCCATATGCTTGGGATTGTCAAAAAGAATCCATTTTTCACCACATGTAACAATACTGTGTAGAAATGGTTCACCTTTATGTCCTGACGGCAAAGAAAGACAATCTTCAAGACAGTTCCTCTGCTGATGCTCATTTGATTCATGGGGAACCCATCTATCCAGTTTCTTTATCTTGCCAATTTGTTTCAAATGGTCCAGTATTGTTGGAATAGTAACTTCAAACCTTGCTGCTAATTCATGTGTAGGTTGAGATGGATTTGCTTCTACTACAGCTTTTTTTTTCCCCCCAGCTAAAAAATTCTTTTATTAGGGAAGAAGGAGACAGGTATTGGGTGATAACCAGCAGTCTCTCCCACCACCACCCCACCTCTTTCTTTTTCAAACAGAATCAGTCCCATGTGGCAAAAGTACCAATCCTTGGATTTGGAGACAAAATTTATAACAGGCTTCTCTGACTTTATCAGACATTCTACATCCATATGTAGATGGAGCCAGAGACCATAACAAATCAGCACCAGAGGGAGGAAGATCCAAGCTTGACGACATGTATCAGAATGTCTACCCAAGCAAATCCTTGAATTTTCACTTGAGTGAGGTGTTAGAAGAGTAGATTATTCTATTGGCCAAAGGCAGGCAGCAATATCAAAACTCCATGTGCATGCTTTAGTTGACCAAATTCAATGATGCTGTCTCAGGACAACAGTAGAGAAACTTCAAACCACAACAATACAGAGAAACTTCAAAGATGGCCTGAAACCATCTTGTTAAACTACTTGTTGAGACGACTCCTTCTAGATTTGTTTGGTGCTGCCTTTGCATTCCAGTCTTATTTTCCAAAAGTGCAGACACAATCCAATTGTAATTTCATCATTGTGCGTCTTGGATGGTGGAGTTGGCCTCCGGCCTCCTGCCTTCTCTTTCATCCGCAGGCATTGCCAGACCAGGCTGCAGCCGCCCGCCGACACCTCAGCTTCCACTTCCACTACAGCTTTCAGCTCATCATTATCCACCTTGGTCTCAGGTTGCCTATGTGACTCATTTTCAAGATTAAAATTAACGGAACGGAACTTCTCATCAATGTACTGTGTGTTTATTAGCCACATTCTTCCCATACACTTCATTGAGCTATCTGCATTTCATTGGTTCCACGATGGAACTCATATTCGGAAGTAACACGAATTTTTGACTAATCCATGATTTCACAAAAATTGTTCTAAAAAACAATTTGAAAGATAATCACCAGCCAAAACATGCTTTTGAAAGACTGAAGATGTATCTTCACAATAAAAATAAAACAAGAAGTGTCAAAGTAAAATGTCAGAGATATCAACCGTCAAACTTAGTACTTAGGGAAATCGGACATTTCATACTTAATAACCTAATAACTTTAAATTTTCTTAGTTTTAATTTCTAACATGGTAAATATCCATACATAACCCACATAAGGCTGGGTGCGGTGGCTCACGCCTGTACTCCTAGCACTCTGGGAGGCCGAGGTGGGCGGATCCTTTGAGCTCAAGAGTTCGAGACCAGCCTGAGCAAGAGCGAGACCCCATCCCTACTAAAAATAGAAATTAGCTGGACAACTAAAAATATATAGAAAAAATTAGCCGGGCATGGTGGTACCTGCCTGTAGTCCCAGCTACTTGGGAGGCTGAGGCAGGAGGATCGCTTGAGCCCAGGAGTTTGAGGTTGCTGTGAGCTAGGCTGACGCCACGGCACTCTAGCCCGGGCAACAAAGCAAGACTCTGTCTCAAAAAAAAAAAAAAAAAGTCAAACTAAAACCCACATAAAAGATTCCTGGAGTTCTTATGTAAAAGGAACTTGAGACAAAGTTTGAGAACCACTGGTTGAGACTTAAAATTTAGTATTTAAAGAAACACCCACCTTTTGCCATTTAATAACCCCAAATTTTTTCCTGAAATTTGTTATCTTTTAAGTCCTTACCATGTTTATCACAATATCTACAGTAGCAACTGGGCAAATGAATAAATGATCGATGGACTTGGAAAAGTGGTTACTATAATATGCTTCTAATCTACAGAGAAATTTATAAGCCAGAACATATATATATATTAATATAAGGCTGAGTATGTAGGATGAGCATCTAACTTGGAAGTTAGTTAAGAATTGGTCACAAGACTTTCAGATAACTGTGGCAGGAAAAAGCACATAAAACATTTTAAAGGTATATGCAAAAATTGTTTTCTTTTAACTATATCCTCTCATTTTTTTCCCCAGAGATTCCTTCAGTCGAATGAGTCTTCGCAAAATGGATCTCTAAGATAAATGCACTTGTTTTACTCATTTGAAAAGAGCCATGTATTCAACATTGAGTGTGAAAAGAAGTTAAGATCTACTGAAAAATAAGATAGGATGGAATTCTGGAAATTATAAGTTGATTTACTCATTGAAGAATGCAGTGGCCAAAACAATATCAAATGTAGATTGTTAAAGTTTGAGAATCATGGCTATGGTTTCTAATGTTCTGGTAACATACTGTTATCTTTTTTTAAAGACATTTTAATGACTCAAAGGTACACTATACATTTACCATTATTTATACCATAGCTAATGTTAAATTTATTTACTTTAAGTTCATATTTCTTAATTTATATTACCACTTCTAGATTGATTTTGGAACCATTTTAAATGTAGTAATGCTTATTTTAAAGGTACTATTAAATATGTGAATGTTTACACTAATTTTACTGAGTGAGACTTTTAAAAATTTTCTTTACTGACAGAGGCAGAGATTAAGGGTTGATTCAAGAACCAGTTCCAG